GCTCGGTTACCACATGCCCAAAAATATACTCAACAAAATGTCTTCAGCAGAAAGGCTCAACATGATCTTCAAGAGCAGATCTTCCGGAAGGGAAATTAGGAGATTGTTTTGGGCACAAACGCCGGCTTGCTTTTCGCCGTCTGCAATGCCCTCTGCTTCAGCTTCACCGGACGAAGGTGGAGATGACAGCAGCGGCAGGCGGAAGATTGACGATTGAAATCTGGCCATGACAATTTCGAATTGTCTGTTTGTTAGGCAAATATTGTTGCCCAATATTCAGATGTTCAATTTTTATTACAAATATGTTTCCTAATGCACTAATAAATAGGAGTAGCAAAAAGAAGCAGATCTCGGCAATTAAATTTGAAAAATATCATAAATTGCTTTATACAGAATGCTCCCATGCACACGTGATGTTAATATGTTTAAAAAAATACATCACCAATGTGTGCATGCCACCTGAGAGGTGGGCACACCGTAGATATAGGAAAACATTACTCTTTGCTTTATTACTCCTTTTTTATATATATGTTAACTATATTAACTTTTGTCAGTTTTGGAAATTAGATTTATAAATAATATTTAAATATTTCAAATGGAATAATAAAATAATAAATAAAACTACAAATCATCTCATAATATAAAAAAATATTTAGAATTATATGACATAAACCAATGATTTTAATGTGTTTTACATAGGGTTCATACTCCATATTTTTTTTATATTGCCCATCTGATTAATACAATCAGCATTTAGATGTTCAATTTTTATTAAAAATATGTTCCATAGTATTCTTTAAATTATTCTTAATCACATGGTTGATATATTGTTAAGTAAGAAATGGTCATTTTAATAGAAATTGCAAAAAAAAAAATCTCCACTGGATTAGTAATTTCATAGTTAACGCATGATTTTCTCATTCTCATATCTTTAGGATTCAGTTATTTTTTAAAAAAAAAATTAACCGATAGGAATGAAAAATAAATATATAATATATACCATAGATCAAGATCAAAAATTATATTAAATTAAATTATCTTTAAAATTAAATTTCAAATAAATTATTAAAAATAATTTCATTTTTATTTATGAAAATAAAACTAAAAAACATGCATTTATAAATAGTTTATGCTCTTATTATATATATATTCATAGATTGAGTTATTAACGTGTGTTTGCGATAACGGTGCCACCGAGTCGATGACCTTATAGTTATGCGGTGTTTTTAATGAATTTAGGGTGGATTTTAACATGGATTCAACGAAAACAACGAAGAATAGCGGATTCAACGAAAACAATGAAGAATATATGGCTTGTATTTGTCGACAAATTAAGGCTCCTGCACCAGCGATTATTTATTAAAAGGATGGGCCGCTCACTGACTTTTTTTATG